TGCTCCCTTTCTTCCCCCCCTCCCCTCCCCCAACCCACGTCTTTTGCCATCATTGCCGCCAAATTGTTGCCCAAAGATTCAAAGCGCCTCGCATTTCTCCGCCCTGCCGTCAGCAAACACTGCATCACGCAGACATGCGGAAGCATGAACAAGACAAGAATCGACAAGCAAGCGAGAAGGGGGGGGCAAGGCTTCGTGGAAATCATCGGATCGTAGAATTCATTGGATCGATTGTGGTGGAGGATAAAGGTGAACCCAAGGGGCACGCATGACAAGGTGAACGCGCGCGCAGGGTCGGTATTTCCGGCGACGGATGCACCGATTCGTAGCGCCCCATTTCCGCCCCCAGCTGCCGTCCGAGTGCAGGTCAAATCAAGCGGCTTGGAACTACTTATCAAGCAATAGCACCCAGGACCAAATTGACGGCGCTCTGATCCTGAGCGCGTATAGCCAATTCCAGAATGACGCCTTCTCCACTCTTGAAGCTCATCCTCGCTCTCACGAGCGTATTGAGCGGTCCTTTGGAGCTGACGACGTATCCGCTCAGGTTGAGCGTGTGCACAGAGGTCGATGTGGGCGTCTCGCTTCCTCCGAGTGGTTGCATACCCAACAGCTCTATCAGCGTCGTGCACGCATCTAGACATCATCAAAGGAAATCATCAAGGCCCCCCCGTCAGGTCAGTGAATTCGCAGACAGCGTCGGAGCCGCTCCGAGCGCGCAGGCTACACATTTCCAAACTCACTTTGAAGCCCATCTAACGCGGTCAGGGCAAAAGTCTCTGTAGCGCTCGTGCCACCCTTTCCCAGCTCTTCCCACTCCTTTGCAAAGTCCGCATACCTCTCCGACACGTAATCCGCCACTCCCAGCTCCAAATCCTCGGTCTGGTACTCATCGTCGTAGCCTTCCTCTTCCGCTTCCCCCGTACTGGGGTCCACTTCTCTAGATTGAAACTTGAGCGTATTCGACAATGTTCCCTGCGCATAATTGTCACCTTCTTGCTCTGCTTCTTCAGACGGGAGTCGCGTAAAGGAGACGTACACCCGCCCAGTCGGATTGGAAGCGTCCAAACGAGCAGCCGGCAAGATAAAGTCCTCCTTCAGCCCAATCTCGTTGTTCCCTGTCACAACCACCGCGACATTGTCCAGCAGCGTGTCTGGCAACGTGTTCGTCACATTATACTGCAGCACAATGTGATCTTCAAACACGTGCTTGACGGCATTGACGACGTACTCCGTCTCTCGTTCCGTCAGCTCCACAGCTTTGGCGGAAGACTTGAGCAGCTTGCCGTACGACTTGAACTCGGCAACGTCGGCCAGCTCGCGAGCGTAGATGGATGTGGCTTCCGCACCAGTCGCACCAGCTGCTGGTCCGGACGCTGCGGTGGAAGCAGCGAGCGCTGCAGCCGCTGCGCCAGCTTTGCTCGTGCTGGGACCATCAGCAGCCATTGCCACCTTGCTAGCAGCTTCGTTCTTGGCTCGCAGCGCTTCTTGTCTCGTTTCCTCCCTCGTGATTCTTGGAATGCTGGAAGCATCGAATCTCTTGGATCCAGAGGCAGATGGATCTCTGACATAGTTGCTAAGCGATTCTTCGAGCGCTTCCAGGCGGAACATGCTATTGTCCTTGACCAATCTCTCGGCCAAGTGTTCCTGACGCAGAACGCGAAGATTCATGGCTGCGCGGTCGCGCACCTCGTCATCGACGTCGTCCAAGCAGCGCTTGAGCAGCACAGTGATCCGATCAACCAAAGCCTTTTCTGCTCCCTTGAGTCCAAATTTGGCCAGAGCGTTGACAGCAGCAGCTCTGACAATGGCGTTTTCTAGGATGACGCGATTGTAAATGTAGCGAATGTACCTTTGTGGTTGAGGCATTCTTGGGCCTTCAATGCCGAGCAAGTGCAAGATCCTGACCGAAAGCTTGGTGAATTCGCAGTCCTCGATGAATTCGCAGAGGTGCGCCAAAGCGGACTCTTTGCAGTCTCCGATGAATTGGATCATATCAAAGATGGCCTCCACCACGGCTCTCTTGAACTCGTACCCGCCTTCGTCGCGCAGCACGCCAGAGAGGAATGCCAGCATCGTCGTCTGCTTGGCCGGGAACTTCAAGCACAGACTGCGGATCGCGTCGACGACGATCACTTTAAATTCGTCGGTGATCTCGGCCATAAAGCTGCTGATCTGCTTCATGAGTCTGTCTACGCTGGCCTCGTTGCCGGTCTTGAGTAGCGTGGTAATGGCGTAGGTAGCTACGCTGCGGTTGGGATCTGTGATCAGATTCTCCATGTCCACATTGCACTGCTGCACAGCCGCTGGCTGTGTTTGAGCCAGCTTGGCCAGAGTCCTGATGGCGGCGAATTTCAGGGTGGACTTGGGGCTAGACAAGAAGAGTTGAAGGACGGCGATGGACCGGCTGAGCTCGACGGAGGTCAGACCACGCATTTCGCAGATGGCGCGAGCTGCTTCATAGTTGACCATGTCTGACTTGTGACGCAGCCAGCCATCGAGCAGCTCGACCATTGGAGCGCGCAAGTTGGGATCATCTTCCGCGACCTTGGCTGCATATCGAACAAGCATGCAGATGGCAAAGGGGCTTCTAAGAGGGCTGACGGATCCTCCGCGACCGCCGCTTGCGCCGGAAAGCTGCTGAATGAGCTTGGTGACCGCCATGCGGTCGCCTTGACGGATGAGGTAGAGCAGACCAACGGCGTGGTACTGTGTGATGTTGCTGCTGCTGGGGATGGGCTGGTAGGCGCTCTGAGCAGGAGTGGGTTGGGAAGAGGCACCCCAACCCAGGTAGCTGCCAGCTCCGCCGAAACCACCACCGCCGCCGCCGCCGCCGCCTCCGATTGCAGCTGCTGGCTTGATGGTGATGGCATCTTGAGCTTCATTGCCCCACCTGCGCACCACTTCGCGCGCTGCGACGTGCAGCTGGTAGGCAGAGACCAGAGCTGCAGATGCGATGGAGGTGTTGCGATCGACGATGGCAGACTTGAAGAACCTCTCCAGGCCCTGCACCATGGATGGCTGTCAAATGCGACCAGACCGGTAGACGACATCAGCAATGATAGTCGGTACAAGCTATGCGGATGCTGTAGCCTGATGAGCTACGACTCACGTCTACGACCCTAGAGAGCGCGCGAATGGCGTTGGGTCGGTAGATGACCTCTACGTTTGGCTGCATGTCCTTCATGATGGATGCCGTGACCATGATGGTATCATCCGCGTGCGGACAGAGCTCCTTGATGGCGAGATACACCATCTGCCTCAGAGCGGGCTGTTCGGCGGTTGGAGTATAGAGAGAGGGAGAGAGAGGGAGAGAGAGGGAGAGAGCAGGCGATATCGTCAGATGGATGCAACGTAGCAGCAGACAGTGCGTGCGATGCGTGCGGTGCGTGCGGCCGTGAGGAACTCACATCCTTGTGTTGGAAGAGCTTCGTGGCACCAAAGAACAGCGTGGTGGCTTCCTGCCTGCTGAACGTCTCTCCAGTGTATAGCAGATAGACGATCTTTGTGAGGACGATGCGACATTTTCGAGGAGAAATGGGCGTCTCGTTGAACACCCTGGCTTCTTGGATCACCGATGTCTACGATGGAGAGGGGGAGGAAAGGATGAAGCGGTGTGAGCTGTACACGCAACGCCTGGCCGTTCCAGAGAGTGTTTGATCGAATGCGATCTCACCTTGTCCTGATAGAAGGAGGTGCCTCCCTCTTCGTCCTTTTTGAACGACATGGCGAGCGTCGAGGCAAGGCTGCTCGCCTCAGTCGTCTTTTGTGCGGTGGATGGATCAAGTGGCCAAGCGGTAATTTGAGTGGCAGTGGCAGGGCTGCTTACCGCACTGCAAGGGCGGAGTGGCAGGCGATCTGGAGCCTGAATGCAAAGGGCTGTGTCGATTGATGGATGGTGTTGGTTGGGAGCGCGATGCGATGACTTGGGGCGAGCTCGTGGTGCAGCCAGCACGCAGGACCGCTGCCCATGGCTGCTGCCCTGCCTGCGACCTCGATCGCACGCCCGCGCGCGCCCGCGAGCACGGACGTCGACAAAGCACCGTCGCGTAGCCAGCCACCGCGACTGCTTCTGCATGCTTGCTGGTGCTTCCAGCGTAACATCATACGTGGGATCGTAGCAGCACGTGACTTGCAAAACTCGCTCGTACGAAGATGAGATCCTCAGAGTCATGCGTCGTCATGCGCCCGGCGCGCGCCCTTTCTTCTGAAATTCGACGCGGCTCGAATCAGATTCACCATTTTAATTCAAATTCAATTGTTGTGTACCGTACCGTATAGATTTGTCTTGAGTGTGAGCCTCGTACACCGCACCATCTCGCTTTGAGCCTCCTGAAAACCGCTTCGTCCATCCCACTTTCCACTCTCAGTCCCCGTCAATCACTCCGACCTTGCACACAGCGCGCTCATCCCGCACATCCCGCAAGCGTCCGCCGCATACACTCCTGGCTATGACCCTGCGCGTCTTTTCCAGACGCTTCTCGATCCCGGCCAGAGGGGCCAAGCATGCTCGTCGCACCATCCCTGCCATCTCATCCGCCAATCGCTGCTTCCACGCTTCCGCATGTGATGGCGCACCCAACCATGACGCTAGTCCACGAGAGCAACAACAGGCTCGAGGCGGTGCAGTGGCGCAACAAGCCGTCACTCCACCCCTCCCACCTCACCTCGCCTTTTTCTCCTCCGCTCAAGCTCGACCTCGCTTGGCCGGCAGCTCATCAACAGAGGAGAGCAGCCGCGGTGATGCGAGTGCGGATGCGGGTATTGATGATGTGCAAGGAGGCGTCAGACAGTTGGCTGCTGCCTCCAGCTCATCGCTCACCACGCACCACGCAGCGCGCTTCAGCAAATCGCACCAGCGCTTCATTCAGCCTCCTCACCCGTTACTGACTCGACTCACAAGCCTCTTGCACAGCGAAAGCGATACAGCAACGAGCGAAGAGGTGTGGAAGGCTTACAGCGATCTGCATCTCTTCCACGCGTATGGCGACCCCCACGCATCCACCCTCAACCTCACACTCTCTCCCGCTCTGCACAGTCATGCCCTGAGAGCCATGACTCCAGACTGGATGCGGCGTAAGGAGGCGAAGCGAGACCAACGCATCACGCGCGACTGGGCTGGCCACGAGATGGCTCGCTCGGTGGAACAAGAGGATCTGCGTGACAGCACTGCACACGCTGCCCATTCTAACAGCGAGGGCAGGCGCCACTTTAGAGAAGACCCTCCAGACGGCACCAAGTCGCCGTTCGGTCAGCATTCGCAACGCATCACATTCCGCACGTACCAAGACAGGGTCGACTTTGTCTTCAAGCAGATGATGGCGACGTCTAGTCAGCTCAATCTGCATGTCGCACGTGCCGTGCCGTCTTTGCAAGACGCTGCATTCTTCTTGAGCAAAGCTGCTCTCAATGGCAGCATGAATGCCGTGGTCAAGGCTTACGAGCTGTTCACCTCAAAGTACGCTCAGCTCGAAGCGATGCAGGCGCAGAGCAGAGGCATGACGGATGCACGTTTCCAGCGCCTTCTTCACGACTCATACAAGTTCCTCATGCTAGGGCTGGTGAGACACGCTGCCAGGGGTGTCAGTCGCTCTCGGCGTTCCAGTGGCCAATTGCAGCAGCTCCTCCGAGATCAGCAGGTCACCGGTCAGAGTGCGCAAGCCAGCACCGCTTCGAGCAATCTGCGGCGAAATCAGGAACGGGCAAGGAAACAAGCTCAGGGTCTTATAGAGCTTAATACTCAGAGAGCGCTGCAGCTGCTCTCCGAGATGCAGAGCAGAGGCTTGACACCGCATGAAAGCGTCTTGGGTCTAGTCACAAGATGTTTCCGCTACGAGCATGGTCTGACCAAGCTGTACACTTTTGTACAGACAGCTTTTGGTGTCGATCTGAGGAATTTCGACGATCCTTACGGTCAGGGCGAAGGGCGATCAGCGAGTCTGCCGCCGCACACGCTCAACACAATTCTCATGGCACTTGGGGAGCAGAGCACGGCCTCTAGAATGATGGCGACGTACGAGGTGCTTGTGCGGCCACTTCATGTTGGTTCACTGGCTCCAAGTGCATCGCCATCGGACGACGAGGTTGCTGCTTCACGCCCCGCAAGCCTCTTTCAGACAGACTTTGCGGGCGTGTTCGAATCCCTGAAAGAGCGTGAGCACGACGAATTGACGGAGGCAACTGGGCTCGGAGATGCGGATGCTGGAGCCTCCAGCGCACTGCCGGTCTCGTCTCACCCACACTGGTTGCAGCCGACCAACTCCACCTACACCACGTTGCTGAGGTATCTCTGCAGCGCCATCGAGCCATTCTCGACCGGATTCGTGCATGCTCGCGGCAAAGAGTTGATGACTGAAGACAAGAAGCGCGCCAAGGGTCACTATGCCCCACTAGCGCGCTACCTGATACGCGAGCAGCTAGATTCATATCAAGCCGAGGTGGTCAAGCTGGCTACTGCGCTTGGAGTGGGCTCGCCTGCCTTCGGAGAGGACTTGTCAGACGTTTTGCAGTTTGCGTCCAAGCTGCGCCAGTCGCTCGATGTGCTTGACCAGCGCATCGAAGAGTCCAAAGCTGAGGACGGAGGCGCAACGGAAACACTGGTGCAACGTCGCAAGGGGAGAGAAGATAGGCTGGAACGCGTTTGCGCCATGCTTGAAGATCCACAAGTCGGATCAGCGACGATCGACGCCTCGGAGCCAGATTCCCAGGATGTGAATCTCCGACTTTCGGCCCTGCAAGGCACGCAACTCATGCCTGCTCGCTTTGCTACGCCTGCCCTTTTTTGGAGCTATGCGAGTATGGCATCCCATCTACGTTCCACTTACGAGATGAGTTGGCTGGTGGACCAAATCGGATGGGCGCTGTACATTGCGAGAGCGCACCGCAACGTGCTTCGCGCTGCGAGCGAGCGCTACGCTGCTCTGCGCGCGCATTTGCGATCTTCAAGCGTCCTGCTCGAAGGAGTCCAAGAAGCCCAAATCTCTGCAAGGAATTTGCGAGCTCTGAATAGTTTCCTACACGATGTGGAGAGGACGATGGATGATCTGACTGTTCGGATAGAAGCGCTAGAATCGGAAGAGGCGCAAAGAACAGCGAGATTGATCAGCTTGAGGCGCCGAAGAAGGGTGAATCAGATCAAGAGGTCTTTGGTCCACTCGCATGAGAGGGAGTTGGAGCAAAAGAGGATGGAGAGGGAAGAATTGAGCAGGAAGGAAAAGCAAGAGAGCGAGAGGATCAGGCGCGAGCTTGGGAGAAGCATCGTGGGTGCAAGTCGTGCTGGATCTGTGGATGGAGATGAGCAGGCAATTGTGGAGGGTCGATTGAGGAGCGCATAATCGATGTGTACACTTCACAGCATGCAACGCGCAGCGAGAGAGATCCAGACAAGGTGCCAGCGCGCTTACCAAGAAGCATACGTTTGATTTCAATTTCCCCAGCGTTCAATGCGCTGTTGCTCAGGTCCGCCCGCTTTGAGTCACGTTCGAGCAAGCGGGATCGACTCGACTGTATGCAGAGGGACACGAAATGCGCTCTTCGCTGCAGCGTACTACTATTGTCCATTGATCGCACGGGAGAAAAAGGAAGAGACGCGACAGCGAGAGTGAGGTATTGCCATTGCAGAAGAGGACAAATGGTAAATTGACTATTCAAGGTTCCGGGACATTGGCTTGTACCGCCACTTGAGGGTGAGCGTGGTTGGTGTCATTGGATGCGCCATTCGACGTTTGATCTGTGGCAGCTTGTAGCGCGCCTGCCTTCGCTTCGCCACTGGGAGCGGTGTTCGGAATTGTCTGAACACGAGCCTCGTCGCGATCAATCTGCATAGCCTCTGTCTTTCCTTCATGTCTGACGGGGTCGCTTGCGGGCGCACTCGACTTGGCGCGCTTGCCCTCCCTCTTCGTTTGCCGGCTAGAATCGGGATCAGGCTCTCGAGGCTCGGGCGGCACGTCGGGTACCACCAGCCTTCCGGCTTTCCAGCGAGCTCCGCAGGCATTGCAAAGCTGGGAAGGACCCGATGGACCTCTTCTCCACATAGGGGTGACGAGAGTGCCACACGCACCGCACGATTTTCTGCTACCATCGGGATTATGCGTAGCGACGTGCCTCTTTCGCTTCGGGCCAGCGACTTGGGACTGTGGGCTCGCAACAGTGGGATCTAGACTTGCGTCCAATGATACGTCGACCGCCTCAAAGGTGACATCATTGGTATCTCCGCTAAGCCGAGGCATCTTTTTGACTTTCGGACTTCCTTGAGGTATTTTGCTATCGCCGACCTCGGTCACATCTTCGGGCCCTGATGGCGCTGTCGCAGAGGCTGTCTTGCGCTTTGGGATAGGTCGAGCAGTCAAGACCTGGACTTTGACTCCGAAGCGGTCTGAAAGATGCTCTTCCATCCCGCCGGGCAGCATGGCGCTCGGAACGTCGATGGCGGGGTGCGCATCTTGATTGGCAGGAGGTAGCATTTCGTACTGCAGCATCGAACGGCAGCCCATGCTGGTCAGCGCAAGTACTCAAGGCGGCCTCCATCAACCCGAATGACTTACCATGTGCTCAAATTGCTTCTGAGTGAGTGCGTTCGAATTGTGCTTGTGGCCCACACCTTCCTTGCTGGTGCCGGCGCTGGAGCTTTTTCGATCAAGTTCCTCTTGCGGTGCTCTAAAGCCTTGCTTGTCTCTCGTGACGCATCCTTCGACCCGGCCAAACATCTCCCAGAGAGGTTGCGTGATGTCGACGGGTGAGCTGCCGGGCGCAATGTCTGCTGCATGGCCAGACAGCCGCCAAGTGATTGGGTACCGAGTCTGGGTCCGATCCGTAGTCGATATCGATCCTGAGGATCTGGTCGACATGGTCGCGTTGGTACCGGTCGCGCTAACGTCCTCCGCGGGCGACGCCGAGACAAAGGCATCTGCTCCTTGAACCGGTGTCCAAAAGCTGACGAGAACATTTCGCGCGCGGTCCAGCAATTTGTTGCGCTCAGCCGTTCTAATAGATGCGCCTCCTACAGAGGTTTCCGCTGTCTCTTGCAACGCTTCCCTCCGCTCGACGATCACGTCACCCCAAAGCGGCAAGACGAATCTTGCAGAAGGGTTCTCTCTGAATTCCACCACTACAATGGGCGGAGATGGCAGCTGGGACGCCGCGGGAATGATTGCGTGGCTGCTGCCTGCGCGATCTGAGTTGCTCGAAGCTCCACCCATGTGTTCAGATGCTGGACGCGAAGATGCTGGCTGGTTTTTTCCTGCGCTCGTTGCCTGCGGTGCTGCTGGCCTGGACGCACTGACAGGCAAAGCAGCTGTGGGTCGCGTCAGACTTGCAGAACTTTTGGTGGTGTCTTGTAGCGTTTTGGAGGGCGAGGCAACACACGCAGAGGCAGCGCTGGCAGCGCTTTGTGCAGATTTGGGGTGGGATCTGTCGGTCTGGACCCTCTGCTGCGAGGGAGGCAGGGGGTTCAAGGGGCTCTGAGCGGCGGGAGCTGCGACTTTCGAAGCAGCGCTTCCAGGTGGCAGAGGCTTGGGAGGCTGTCCCTCTTGACCGCTGCGGCTGTTTGCTGTGCCCTTTTGCGTGCTTGTCACAGCTCCGGTGGTGGACGCAGGAGCAAGAGAAGCCGGACGCGGCGCACTAGCGTTTGCAGAAGGAGCTGCTCTCGCTCTCTCACTGCTCGCTACCGGCTTGCTCGTAGACGCCGCAGTCGCAGATGAAGGGGCGTTGTCCGCAGGTCTGCGAGAAGTGCTGGTGCTACTGCTAGCGTTTCCGGAAGTGGGCCCTTCAATGGACACACCTTCGCTCCTCAACTCCTTCCTCACCCCCTCTATCCACTTTCCCAGCGTCTGAAGCTCGCTTGGTGAGGCTTTACCCGACGCAGCCACTTGCAGAAGCTTTTGAAGCGCTGGATCCTTGGCTGCTTTCTGATTGACGCGCGTAACTAGCAACGGCGAGATGGCGGCACGCGGAGAGGCAGCAGTGGAAGTCTTGGTTGTCGATGCAGATGCAGATGCAGATGCAGATGCAGGGGCGACGCCTGCAGAGCTTGCTGCTGAGCTCACAGCCGCTTTTGGGGCAGCTTGGGGTGCTTTAGCAGGTGGTTTGGCAAGAGGGAAAGAGCCTCGCTGTGGAAGAGGTGACGGCTGATCCAGTGACTGCCTCTGCTGACCAGATCCAGAATGTTCGGCTGTTATGCCACGCGCATCTTGCGGAGCTGTCTTCTGTCCCTGGGAAGGTGACCTTGGTAGCAATGTAGCTGCAGAGCTAGTTGGTGCAGCATCCTTGATGGGGCTCTTGGACGACTTGTCCGCCGCAGTCTTGGCATTGCTCCGTGCAGCTGATGGCTTTTCCTTTGCACTCATCTGGCTTGAAATGGGCAGAGAAGCCTTTTTTCCTTGGACAGAAGAGTCGGCGCGAGGCTTTTCCGAGTGACCGCTTGCATTGACGATCGAGCTACTTGGGGCTGCAGAAACCGTGGCCGATGCTTCCTCTCTGAGCTCCCACAATTTGCAAGCGACAAAGACAAGAGGCCCTACCCGAACATCAGCTCTACCAAGCGGCACCAACTCAACTTTGGGTGGTGATGCGAAGGCTGTGGTGCGGGAAGTAGGTGCATCGTGCGAATGGGCAGGAGCAGCATTTGGACGTGGGACGATGCCTCGAGGTAGGGTGATGGTGCAAGGATAGTGCAAGCCTGAACGCTGCCGTGTGCTGTACACGGGGAGCAGACTGGTCAGATGCTGCAGACGAGACTGTCGCAGGCACTGATGAAGCGATATCCTGCGCAGAATCACAAGACGAGGTATGAGAAGAGCGAAGCAGAAAGGGGGGTGCCATGAAAGTTGCGCGGTGCGTAAAATAAAGCTCCGCCACTCACCCTCGAGGCAGATCGCTTGGCTGTGGAGATGCTCGATCGTTTTGGGTTGCAGTTGCGGTTGCATCTGGATCTCCGTCTACATCTGCATCTGCATCTGCATCTGCGTCCTCTTTCCATTCGCTCTGTTCCAGCCTGCGCCTCTTGCGATGATGTGCCTGGCTGCTGCGCCACTCCTTGACCTGCTGAACGCTTGGCAGGGCAAAGGGCACGACGAGATCCGGTGCAGGTTTCCTGGCACCGCCCACTGCGCTCATCAATGACAGCGTGCCGAGTGGCCTGACTGCTGATGCTGGTGATGAAGCGTGGATGGGATGCAGATGACCGACTGCATCGTGATCCACGCTGGCTGGCAAGACATTGCCGTGCGTGCCGATGGGTCCGCCCAGCTGACCCGCCTGCGACTGCGACTGCGACTGTGACTGTGACTGAGCAGACGCTTGCATCCTCCTCCTCTTCTCCCTCTGACTGCCCGATGGTGGTGACCGAGCAGGGGGCGATGGGCAGTTTGAGTGTGGGTGTATCAGATGCTGCGCCTGTTGTGCTGATCGTGAGAGGCACGAGTGGAGGGGATGTTGATGAAATGTGGATTGCGAATTGAAGTCAGATGAATGATGAGTGATGAATGATGAGTGATGAGTGATGAGTGATGAGTGATGAGTGATGAGTGATGAGTGTTGAGTGTTGAGTGATGAGTGATGAGTGATGAGTGTTGAGTGTTGAGTGTTGAAAGATGCATGATTTCTCGTGTCGTTCTTGCGCCTGCTTGCTTGCTTGCTTGCTTGCTTGCTTGCGCGTGCATCTTTGATTCTTTGATCGCGGTCGTCTCGCTCGATGGATCACGTGTGTCGCGCCTTCACTCGGGGCGCACAGGCAGTCAAAGTCAAGAGTCAAGAGTCAATAAGTGCAGTCAAGAGTCAAGAGTTTTGAGTCAAAGTCTTTTGAGTCAAAGTATGCAGTCTGAGTGACTCTTCATTTTCATTGTGATTCTTGATTTGATTCGCACCAAGTCGATTTGCTCCATGTTCCTCCTCCACAAGCACCAGCACAAGCACCAGCACCACTCGGACTCTTTGCACTCTTGACTTGTCTCTCTTCACCTGCCACCATGGCTGCCGCCACCATCTCCTCCTCCACAGGCGCGCGCACAGCCATGTCCTCCCACCCCCAAATGCTGCGAGGCATCTTCTTCACTCGCCCTCTATTGCCCCGTCCAGTCTGCTCCTCAACCAGATCATCCAGCTATGACACTTCACTGCGGCCACTTTGTTCGAAATGCGCATCTTCTCGTAGCATGCCATTTGCCACCGCCTCGTCATCTCGCCGCCCACCAAGCCCTGCATGGTCGCCGTCGCCGTCGCCGTCGCACCTCGTGGCTGCACGCCATGCTTCCACTACCAGCATGCGCCCCTCTCCCGCTCCAACACCCTCTGCACCGCGAAATGGTCCAAGCGCATCAGAC